TACTCGTAGCGGAGACAAATCCAACAAATCAAAAACCATGAAAATTGGTCCAGCACTTTACACAACTTTCTTTTATATATATAAAAGATAAGAAAATATGACTATTGAAATCAGAGGGGTTTCAACAAATAAATTTGTTGGCATGAACTCACAGTTGGCTGAAAGTGAAGAGAATTGAACTAGGGGAAATCCGAAAGTTCGTTACAATCTTAATATCTGTGTAGTTTTAATATAAACGGAATACGTGGTTTACTTACGGATACTGAAAGTATGGAATCATCATGTCAACCATTTCCGCATTAATTAGGTCCGTGGGATATTCGACTATTTTACGAAGAAAACTAGTGTCAGACATCACTTTCAGAGACTCATCCCATGAGCTTTGAATAAAAGCTTTCTCAGTATCTGGACGAATAGGCTTTATTTGGCGTCGAAATAATATGCAGACACAATCCATAATTAGAGTAATTAAATATGGAGGTTTTCCAAGTTTACGAACAGTTGCAATATCAGCAGCTTTTATAGTTTTAAGCGCAGCTTCAGCTTCTTCTAACGCAGGCAGTGCTTTTTCTAATTTAGCTTCAGCTACTTGTTTTACAGCAGAAATGTTTTTTACAAGAACTTCTGCAGAGCCTTTCTTTTGTGCCACTTCCACTTTGACGATTTCAGCTGCCGCTTTTGATTGTTCTACAGTTGCCAAAACTTCCTCAGCTTCCGCAGAAGCTACCACAATGACTTTATTCATTTCAACTAAATCCTTTTTAAGTACAGATACAGACGCTCCTGCTTCATCTAATTTGTCTAAACCTGAACTCATGCGTTCTGACATAATAACAATATGGACTTGCTTTTGCTTGTAAAGAATTTTGTAGCTTTCTAAAAATGATATTAACGATTTTGGAGTGACAAATGTTAATCGACGAAAGCGATCATAATAACTAAAGCAAGCATCTTGTACTGACTCGTGAATCCAACTCATAATATCAACGACTTGATCCTTAACTTTGGGACTACAAACTAGTTCCAGGTCTCCGAGATAATGCCGTGAAACTGCCACACATGCATCTGTAGGCCATTTTTGAAACCAATCAATTATACAGCCGGATATCAACCCCGGAAATTTTAATGAACGCAGTCGAAATTTTTCACCCACCTGTAAAAAGTATATTAAATTATATATAATTGAAAATATTAAAATCAAATACCGGGGAGAAGCAGAGCGCAATATGTAAATTCGATCGAGCGCGTGTAATAAAAAAGTCGTAGAGATTTTCTTGAGTGGGAGGCCTTCGTGGTTGTTGTTTCTTCATGATTGGAATAAGTTCATTGTAAATTTCGTCCATTTCATCTTTGGCAAATAGGTTCGCTATTTCTCCAGAACTTAAAATATTATTAATAAATTCTAAAAATGACTCTTCTTTTATTTCATTATCTGTAAAAATGAATGTCATTCCCGTGCCTTCTAAGCCAGATATTCGATACATAAACTTTAGATCTTCTGTTAAGTTTCCGGTATTGTAAGCACGTGTTAAAGTAATTTGGAAAAATTTGTAACCAGCCATAAATGAAGATAATCGCGTTAAGCTTTGTTTACCCGATCCGCCTACACCTACAAGTAATGCGTTACCACGCGGATTACTGAGTATTCGAGAAATAATCATTAGGTGCTTCAGAGCATCCGAGAAAAATACGAGATCCATGTTAAAACCACGTATTTGCTCATTAAATTGAGACATAAAAGTCATTACTTTATTTTTTACAAACTCAAAACTGAAAAAATTTTATTGAGTAATAAAAAACAAACTAAATAAAAATATATTAGTTACCTTGGAATTTCTTCGTAGATCTTTGGTGGTTCTAATGACATATCCTCGTCATCATCTTCCATTGGCTCTGGAGCGTCTCTTAAAAAATCCACCCAATATGATGGTTCGTCGGGAAATTTCTCAAAAAGATCTTCTAAATGTGATTCTGCATCAATTCGCATACGTGATAAAAACCACATTTTATCTTTTTCCATAGTGAAACGATCAGCTATAACTCTTGTGCACTCATGGCACCACAATTTTAGCACCTGTTCTACTGTGTTGCATTCCTCAGTTTTTACTTTGAGAATACCTTCCCAAATTCGTGAAAGATCCCTTAGATTAAAAACATAGTGAAAATTAGCTGGAGTGGGCAGCATTTTAATTTTAACATTTTGCCAAAAAACTCGAGTCATAGGTACTAAAAATGGTATTATCTGTACAACCTCTTCTTCGAATCGACTGGGGCAAAAATAACCCACACCAATGCTTTTAAAAATTTGGTCAATTGAATTATTACTTGGGAGGGTACAATTAAAAATACATAAATGTCTTTTCAAACGATTTGGGATGTCGTTACGACCACCACCAGGGTGAATCATGGCCGATAGCAGTTGAATATCCATTATAGTGGAAAAGTCTCCTGGACGATCCAATGAATAAAATCCTCGTTGTTCGATCATCTGACGTACAATCTCATTTGTAATTTGGTCGCCCCATTCATTAATTACAGGCATGTTGACATCATCTATGAAAACAGTCATTGAACGTTGATTAGGAGGTCCATATGTCGTGCCCTGTCTTTTTTCAACGTATGACTCAATAATTCGCTAAAAAAAAAAAAAAAATAATAACAACAAGTAAGTAAGCTCTAGTCGAGAGCGCTCGACTAGATACTACCCTGAACCAAACTAATAGAAA